GAGGATCAAAACATTGATAACTTTTTTCTTTTACAAGTAAAAGCAATTAGTAGCCATTACTACATCTCGTTAACATTTAGTGCCGTTTTTCCGATTCTGACATCTATTCTTTTATCTCACGCGTAAAATTTCGAACTCACGAACCTTTTCGACACCACGGTTCAAACACCGCAGCGGACTTTTTTGTATCCATAAAAACTTTATCTACAAAAACCCAATAAAAAGCGTTCCATACATAGCCTTTAAAGCTGCTCTTACTGAGCTCAGTGTAAGTTACAGGAGAAGATATCAAAACTCAAATATTTTCCGGTAAAAAAGAGGAGTTGCAAGAAACACCTTCAAAATAGGGCACTTCTTAAACTCTAAGCATGCTCCTAGCCATGGCTAAAAAGGAACGCAAGTTAATTTGCCTGTTAACAGTGCAAAAATCATTCTTTAACTCAAGCTGTATGTTCCTCCTTCTGTATTTAGAGTATGTATCTGCAAGCAACTTTTTCTACATTACGTGTAAGCGCAGATCATCCATAGTGTTTTATTTTACACAGAGTTTAATATATCATGCTGCCAATTCTGGATGCAATCACACAACAATCTCATGATTAACTTGACGTGATGTTTGATGCAAAACAAGGCCACATAATAAAGTCGAGACAAAAGACAATTTGTCTTCTTCCTTGTGTCTGACCCTTAGTTAACAGATGCTTTGTGTCGGAAGTGTCGAGAAACCCAATGTGTATGTTTAGTATAATAGTTTTTCTAGTATGGTGCAAAAGTTCATGCGTAATTCTAGCCACTTTCACAAAGCATACTGACGGATGCAATCAGACAACCTCCGTTTTACTTGCAATTCAGACAAAATTCAATGACCTTCTAAGCATTAATACATACATTTATTTATCCTCAGCGGTCATATACAACTAGTATCGCGATGATTTCGTTTATGGCTTGAGTTGGGCGATTTCAACTTCGATCGTCTTCGATGACAAGAATATTCTTGCTCGTGCCAACCTGTGCATTCGTGACGTTGCGCTGTCCATGACTTCTCAACCAAGTAGACGCAGTGGACCAGCTACGGTTTCTTCCACCTTGTCTTCTTGGTCCTACCCTTGGTGGATGGTATAGGTCAGAGCTGCCGACCGTTTGCGGGAAGGATGAGGAGAGAAGTGACGATGCTTTCTCTAAGCACTAAACTCAAATTAATTTGTGTTTTCTGAAAATAATCAATGGTTAACGCTCTATAAAAGTCGGCAGAAATCCCCCGACTTGGTAGAGAGTCTCGCCGGCAGGTTGCCGGCACCCTTGATGTGAGGGCGACAAAATTTAAGAGTTCACATTTAGGCCGCCTAAAGCCTTTTCACAAAAAATTCCTGGATGAATATACCACTGCGACTCTATAGAAACTTTTGAAATGAGCAAGTTGAGCAATCCTACATAGAAAGAAATTGGGAGGCGCAGGAGATGTTGCCGAACTAGCCTGGCGGCATCTCGTCGAACGTTTCGTTGGTGCTAAGAGCTGCCGGTAGGTCAGAGAGCATTAATAGCGTGCTCTTTTGAGGAAGGAAGATGCCGGCATTTCGACGTAGGGCACGTCGAGGTGCTGGCACCTTGCTGGGGGCGCCTGTGAGTGTGAAAATAGGGTATATCACATGAATTACGTCTCAGTCAAAAATACCAACATGTCTGTATTCTTCCAAAAGTGATCATTTTTATCATTATTAGAGTTATCCTTGACTCCTTGGGCCAACCAAGCCCTCTACCCTCCGGGGCCGGTAAATTGGTACCAGAGTAATCTGGGAGAATAAAAGCACTGACTTGGAAACGGCTGGCCCCCGCAAGTCACTGTAATAGGCTCGCACGCATACAATTGCCTCTTCGACTATAAAGTTAGTGTGTGCGTTCGGCGCATGCCCCAGAGGGTATTGAAGACGCCGAATCCTTTATCCTTTATCCTTTATTATAAAATTCATAGAATGCATGAAAAGGTAAATTTATTTTATTGCTAATTACTTGAGAGCATCGTCTCTTTCTTCTTCATTATCTATTGTCGTACAGTATTGATCACACCCTCTAACGGGCGCCGCTTGCCTGTGCCTATCCTTGTTCTTCGAGATGTAACATGCGCATGCGTGGTTAGTGGGTAGCGCTCGCGCTCGAGACGACGCATGCAAGTTCAAGAACGCGTGATGTCAGTGTTTTGCGGCAGGCTACATTGTCAAAATTCTAGTGGTGATAGTGACTGCGGATTAGGATAACATGAGACTATCAAAACCATTCCACGGCTAACGCCGAAGCTGGCATCCTTCGCGATATGTGCCAACTTGACGGCATTTATGCTGCCAAGTAGTAGATTGCTAGCGTCAAGGTGTTCAAGCGTAACCTAAATTCAGCCACCGAGCTTAAACAACCGCCTTTTTGATTTTGCGATTTTGAGTTTGTTGTCAGGAAATCGAGGGTTTCTAGCTACCTCAAAAAAAACTTGCGAAAACTTCTTGCATAGCAGTAGTTCACATCTTACTGTGACAGGTTTCAATCTCGCGTAAGAACCCAAGGGAAAAAATTTGCCAAAAATGTCATTCCACAGAAAAAAAAAACCTTGTTGCCGCAGATTCTTCACAGAAATGGAGTTCGAGATCAGAAAGTGACCAGTGACCTAGTGCTCATCTAGAAAACTGTGACGTTCTTTTTGGGCGTCACACAGTTCCTGAAAAAATGCGGCGATACAGTGATTTTTCCTGTGAAATGACATTTTTGGCAAACCTTTTGTCTTTGCATTTTCCGGTATTGAAGTCTGCCATGGTGAATACGAATTACTGAAATGCAAGAAACTTTTGCAGATTTTTTGGGCTAGCTAAAGGCCCTCGCTAACACAAAACTGCTTTGAAACGAAATTTTGAAAGCTTTGTTCTCGGTGGCTAACCCATAGAAAGTTACTCATCAATATCTATAATGGAGCACAGGCTTTCCCCTATTTTTGAATTACACAATGACTAATTTAGTTCCAGTGCTTAGTTACTGAATTTCGTTCAAATTACGTTGAAACAATAAAATACATTTGTAGTGAATTAGGCTGATATTGACCATCTGTTTACATTGTAATAATTTTTGCCTTCGCTAATTAAAATTCTCCAAGGTGTACTCAAAATTCTTTTGATCATTCAAAGCATACTCTAGAGTTTATAAAGTATGTAACTGAATGGGAAAATAGAAGTTTAATTCTCAAATTGTGAAAACGACGGCAACATTCAGAGCTCTGGTTACGCTCATTATTATTTTGTATGAAGTTTCTATAATGCTTAATTTACTGTGGTAATCATTTCTAGATTCTAGTAGACACCTCCAGTTCTGTACATTTTGAACCAGATCTTCAGCTAACGGCGAAACTTGAATCAAACTTTGAATTCATCCCTGGAAATCATGTGAATCACCTACACGTCTTACTTTAATTCATAACGAATGCTCTTCTGCACAGCTTCCATGAACATATGATGAGATGTGTGAAGCAGCGTCATTCCGAGTCCCTCTAAATGATTTATGCACCTGCCCACCTTATGCTTTACACATTATTTCTCAATCACCTTCAGTCACCAATAATCGCACAGATAAAAAGCTAGCATGGACCTCTTAGCTTGTGCCGTAGTGCTCACAAAAGTTTCGGCCACTCGAGATTTTATGATGATTTACACAAGCTATAGCAGTTAAATTATAACTGGTAAAAATCCTTTATTTTGTCATTTTACTTACATCTGCCTAGCTCATGAGTCACTTCTAGTGGTGCGCTATATGCACAAGAGCCCTATAATATTGAATAAGTAGAGAGGCTTCTAATTATTTTTGAATTGGGCAGGGGGGGGGGGAGGGGGTAGGGCTGCGACATAAATTTTTCTCGGATAGGAGGACACATCCTTTTGCAGATTCTGACGGACCTGTAACCCCCGAAAGTTTTCAAAAAACTGGCACGGCAGCCTCAATATTTTTCACTCTACTAATTTGGATTCATAAGATTTTGAGAAACTAGTATCTTCCAGTACGTGCGATCATCATTTCAAGCTAATATCTTGTGCAATTGTTGATATCTCTGATTTTTCCGATTGAGATTATGGAAAAGTAGGCGAGTCATGTGAAAAGCGCTTGTAATTATATTTTATTATGCTAAATCCAGTTTCTTCGGAAACTAGAGCACATGGAAGAGTAAAAATTCATGGTCGTACTTAAAAAATTTTGTATATGCAAATACTAGGATTGTCAGATTGAAACCTGCTTTGCCCTATCAAATTTTTTCTCACAATTTCTAGTTCCGAGAAAGGATATACATAATATTGAAGGCAATTATCAATTCGTACTACTACATATGATAGGCTGTCCATCATGTCACGTTTGCTGTCTTATGACAATCAATTCTTTGTCATCTGTCATTCAACATTGAGGATCTCGACGGATCTGCCATGTTTTATGCTTCGGCTGTCGCTACGCTCTTGTTCTCATATCTTTCTATCAAATGTACAGTTTAGCTGCAGAAGCATTGCCTCCCTTTATCTGGAAGAAAGTGCAGCGAAAAGCATTTTCATAGGGTTCCAACAAGTTCAAAAAAGCTAGAAGTTCAAAAATCTTTTGTTTTTTCTTGGGTTTTTTTTGTCTCAAAGCGTTCTTAATAGGGGAAAACGAGATTTGAATGAATTTGGAGTGGAGGTGACTTGCTTAAAAGTTTCAGCCATAATGTTTTTTCATCCGAGGTTGTTTTTCAAGTCAGTCAATCAAAATTTCGAAAATTTTAGTCTGCAAAATAAGTGTCTTGTCCATCCTAAATGGCATCCTTGTCTTCAGAAGCAAATTCAGCAAATTTTCAACCCATGATCTATTGAATTTTTGAGTCCTGTGCGATATGTTCGTAAATCATTCATTCATCTTCTCATTTCCTCTCAAATTCCCGAATAAACTGTGCTCACAAGCCGTTTGTCTTCTTAGAATACGCAACTAAAATGCCATTCCTTAAAAGATTTTGTTTTCAGGTATTAATACCCATATGTAAATCTTCGATCGAAAGATGAGTCGAGCAATGTTTGGTGTGTTTCCAGTGGGTGATACGATCCAAATTCGAGGTAATGTCCATGTATATCTCACTTTTCATGTGTAAAAAATGTGTTCGACAATTACGTCTAATCAAAAATGTGTATGCAATTTTGCTTTTTTGTATGTTATAATTTTCAAAACTGTCCAAAGGCTAGCTTTGTAAAGCTTTTGGAGCTCCTTTTGGCAAAATTTCTGGGTTCAAAATCTTTTAGAATTTGAGGAGTATCTTTATAGAGCTGGCACATTTTCACTAGTCTAGATTTCAATGGGTACTGACTTCAACTCAAAAAGACGTGTGCTTTCAATATGTTAGATGATTCTCAGAAATTAGCTCATGTAAATGGACACAAATATAAACTCGTACTGCACTTTCAAAAGTTTGTAGTATACAAATGGACGTTTATGGAAAGAACTCACTACAAAGTTTTGCAACGTAAATATCTTCCTTTTCTTGGTTTCTTACTTTTGAGCTTGTGAAAAGGCAATATTTTCTTGTTTCCAAAAACTGTCGGTATACCCTTCTATACTTCCTTATACAATGATATTGTTTGCTTAAAGCCTGCTTTATTTCGAATATCTTCAAACTGCATTCAGCTATTTTGATAGATCTAAAAACACAATTTGTAATCCAGCAATCGTAATTTTTGTGTGCTCTTCCATCCTTGCCTGGCGTAGGTCTACACGACCTTATACCATACAGGACTGTTGTCTGTAAATAGCGTATGTATTTCACTTACAAATTTTTGAACAAAGAATTCAATTCCTAGAAAAAAAAGCGTGAAGCGTAGCGGAGTTTTGAACGCAATTATGTGAATACATAACCATAACATCATATGTTATTTGGCAAATAAAACAGAGCAACATTGGGTTAGCGTAGATTTTACATAATTTTTGGGTGTTTCCGACAAAATACATTGATCTCTGACCTCTTGATACACACTCCGCCCGATTTTTTGTGTGTTTTTGGCATCAGTACCTGCAGTTTTTTTTGTTTCAGTTTTTTGAGTGGTCACTTGCTAGGTTTGATTGTAATGTTTTTTATTGTACTACTTACATGCGCTATACTAAATTCTCCCACAATATCTTCAAGCTAATTTGTTCGTTTAGTTAAAACTGCTCTTCTTTATTTACCTGTGCTCTGAGCCAAGCAGACGTCATTGAAATGTGTAATTAATTGCCTTGAAAATTTATTTCAAACCATTAGAACCCCTAGTGGTTACGACAAGTTTTTCCGTCTTCGTTATAATTATTTTGTCTCAGCTCATGCTAACACACCCCCTCTTCGCGTAAAATTGCAAACGAGTCAATGACTCTCATAAAATTCTGCTTAAAATGTCTATATAAACCCAAAAACGAAAATAAAGCACTTGCTTGCACTACAACCACGTTTCCTTGTCCGTTCGCTTCCGGCAATTGAGTTTTTCTCTGAAAATTACGCAATGGATCCAGCAAGACCGAGGTAATTTTGTTTTCATCATATTTAAAATGGGTTTCAAAGCTCGAGTTTATTTACACATTAGCGAGATGGTGTCAGATCGATTTCATCACTTAAGACCCTTTTATGCTGTCCTTTTCAAAAAAATTGTTTCGTGGGAGGAAAGCTTCAAATTTTGTTCAGCTTTTTCAATGAAGCTCTTTAATAATTACTGAACATCAGATCTTTGTCCCATAAGTATTGCAAGAAAATATTGAAGAACTCAAAATTTTTCTGTACCTGATGGGTAAAAATGCCAAATGTGGATTTAACTGAATTTTTGATTTGGTTTTGCTATAACCTTTCTGACTAAAAAGATCCGTGCCGACCAGACTTTTACAAACACTCTTTTGAAATACTTCAAAGTGACTTTTTTTGTTAGAATAAACTCGAAATGCATAGAAAAATCAATTCTAATAGCTAAGAAAATTATAAAATAGAAACCGACTCTTTATTTCGAATATGTTTGACCCTCTAAAATAATCGCTTGCCTTAGTAACCGAGGTCTCGCTTTCTCCCTCTGGCTTTCTCTGCTTTCTTTTGTAGCTCATTAACTATTTATCTCCAGCTAAAAGATCGGGGATGAGTTTGTCAGTGACGGGTGGTAATGACTGGCTCCATTTTTATTACAACTTTTGTGCTCAAAAAACCAAGTTGATTATCCTGAGAGGAATGCCTTGAGGACAGGTACCAGTATAGGCAAAAAATATATGTACAATATTTTAAGCATAAAATTTCCATACAACTTGGCTGCAGCGAAGAAAATGTTTTCCTTCTCCTTTTACCCCTCAACTGGGCTGGCAGCTTTTATATGTTATGATATTTTTTGACTTTGAAGAAGCTCCAACAAACCACATGTGAGACGATTTTTCTTCAATCAGCTGCAAGAGCTTCATGATCGTTGTTCGCTGTTCGTTCATATGCAAGAATGTGTTTTTGCCTTCTCGCTTTCGCACGCGATGTGCAAAATTTATCATTAAGCCGTGATGAATTGTAATTGGTATTATACTAAGCTCCCAGGGAGTACTGGATGCTCTCTTTTCAATGATTACTCTCATTTCTGTTTCCGAAACCAAAGAAAAGCAAGGGAATCATAAGCAGCTGACAAAGCAATCTAAATAGCAACGCAGTATGCAGCTACTCTCAAGCTCCGTCTGTCAGTCATAATGTTCGATTTTGTACGCTCGTGATTTTTTGGCTTTGACTCTAATGTTCCGAAAAGCTCAATAATCGCATTTTTGTCTCAAAATTTATTCGCTTTCGTCAGCGTGATTGCACCGCATGACACGAAAACTCTATTCTCCTATAAGCATACCGGATATGTAAATTAACTTATTGTACTTGCAAACTCTTTTTGAACACGTGATCACTGTGAGTCTTCGAATGGAAAAAATTGTCAAATCAATTTTCCAGTGATCAAAGGGCATGTAAATATTTATGTACGTATCGTTGTGATACACGGCTCTCCCTCTACAAAAAGAAAAAAAACAAAAACAAAAATCCGACTTCATAAACATGTTATGATATTGGAGTCGATGAACAAGGAAATCAGGCAACAAATATCTATTTCAGTTTCGCCACGATCCTTTCAATTCAAACCTACTTGATTATCTGTTCCTTTCAGGGTATGACTCATGTTTCCTTCTTTTCGATTTTGTGAGAAAGCCTTGAGCATTTTGAAAGGGAATGAATGAAATAATCAAGATTAAATCCTGCAGATTTTTCGGAAATTGGGAAAAACGTTTTCTGCACGAGGATGCGTAGCCTTAGGTGCGCCTTCAACGGAAAAAATTTTTTTGAACATAATTTTCCATTTTCGTAAACTTATAGCCCAAGAATTTCATCAAGGGCCTAAATAAATTTTCGCGATGACTCTTGTACCCTTTACATTACTTCAAACAATTACGGAAACACATGTTACTTGTATGGTTTATTGCTCAAGCCACCCAGATATTTCGCAACACGTTTCTGAGGAAAAACCCCTTCCCTCCCCTTTTCCTGATTTTTTTCTCCCCACAAACAATAGGGGCTTGGGATAGTCTCTTCGTGTTATTTTGTTGTTTTTTCTTTAATTTTATTTTTGTTTAACGAATCAACAATATTGGGTGGTTGATGAAAAATAAATCACCAAAATCTTCAGTCTCATTCAAATTCATGGCTGTTAGTCCTCTGAATCAATGAGAGAGTTCAGAATCTTAGTTCTATTTTGAGCGTCAATCATTTATGGCAGTGGAATCATGGGAAATTTTCTACTACATATAGAAAGGAATTTGCTTAATTTAGCGTTCTACAAAGTTTTGCCACTGTTTGAACTCCAAATGACTCGATTTCATCTCATTGTCATCGACACCAGTGTCATCGACATCGTCGATGACGTCCGTTTTGCGTCAGCAATGGTCGTAACCTTGATTTCTCACCGTTCTCAGGTCGCACACTGTCTGCTCTACGACGTCGTACCAAAAATGGAAACCACTTTTGATTTTTTGGTTTGCACTTACTCTGGGAAGCAGACACAAATGGTTGTCCTTATGTTTTGATACGTCTCCTGGTAAATATGTTGCGATATCATGAGAATGTGTTCTATGGAGCGGGAATACGACAAGGGTATCAGCAAAAATTATCATTTTTTGCTTCAGATGATAAATACCTGTACTTCAAATCTTTTTACTTTTTTTGTGCTTTTTATCTCAGTCAATTAGTGTTCTTAGACCATGAATAGTGCTCTAGAACAGCGATCAATCATCTAATTTGAGATTGCTTCAATCTAAAAAATCTGACATGTGTGAAATAAAGTGGTAGGGGAGTTGAATAGAAACCTCGAGCGTGTAGATATAGGGTCAAAATGATGCTTGAAAACATCATGTCATAGAGTTTTTTCCCAAATTTCTTAACCCGTGTTCGATGTTCCTTCAGCAAGATCTCGTTTCAAACCGTATATAGGTTTATGGACTTTTTTCAAACAAAAAAAAAACGTAAACTCTGTCCGAAAATGCTCAAGAACTTGTCAAATTGATTGATGTGATATAACCCACAATGGATGCTGTACTTATCATGCATAATAGAGTCTCTAGCTTAATCGAAAAAAATTCTAGAAAATTTTGAAATCATGAGTTTTCTCAAATATCCGATTGTATCTTTCAGATGACAAAAAGTCAACATAAAAGGGAACAAACTTGAATTCGAATTCAATCTAAATTTCAATAGACTTTGTAGCAATTTAACGACCAAAATTTGTAAAAAAAAATATCAGTTTTTAAATGTTTCTAAAAATCGGTTCGTATCGTTGTTATATACTGAAAAAAAAAATAGATACAAGCACTCCTGGAAAGATCAAGAGTTTCTCTTTCGATTAGGCATCAATGCGAACGATTTTGGTGAACCTTGTGGAAATTACGCAGTTTGAAACTTTTGTTGCAAAACTTATGCATCTGCACAATACAATCTTCTAAGTTAGAAATAGAACTATGCCATCTTTGTCTTAAAAGTCAAATGTAAGGACCACATGGAGAGCAGTGGACTTGATCGTAAATAACATGTACTTATCGTGACCGAAGGAAGTAACAAATTCTATAACCGGCAGAAGTTTGCTTTCGCCCTTTTTTACAGCTTACTTCTGCTCATTAGCTCTCTTCATTTCATGGAATCATCAAACTTCTGCGAACTTTAGTCTGCACGCAGGGTTTGATATCTCAGCTGGTTTAAGTGATGAAAGATCATTTATCACCTGCAGATCCGAGAACTTTTTGCTCACCTAGGGGAGGTCTTCAAAGTCCAATCTGAACATTTATATTTTTCTTCTCTGCAACGACCCTCCAGTTGTTAGGCTAGGTATTGGTTGTTGCAAAAATAATGTCCGTTTTTCTAGACCTATATTCCAAACAACTTTTTTCTCGTCAGACCTTCTTTTTCGATATAGCATCTGCATATCATTGAAAGCTATCTTCATCTACTTTCTCATGGCGGTGAAATTAAGCTGCTATTCTCACTTGTGAAAATTTCACCAGCATTTTCCACATCCGCACTCAAAATCAGGATCTCAGAGTTTCCACTTTTTTGACCACAATTCAGGAGCAAATAAACGAATTCTTCCGAAAACATAGCAAGTGTACTGGATGAAGATTGTTTACCCACAGCGTGCTTATGTAGATTTTTGGAGAAATGTGGACTGAGAAATTGACGCGTCAAAATACACACTCGCTGCTGACATTCTGTGGGTCATTTCTCATAATTAATTCAATCGCCATAGCTTCGCCCAGTTCTGTAAGCTTGAAATTAGCACACCTTAACCTTATTTGAAGAGAAACTTAGCTATTCAGTGCGCGAAGAATTCCAAATTTTTATAATTAGGCACTTACAAGCCTACAACAAATAGGCTCAAAAGAGTGAACATTTTGAATTTTTATCTTTTCTTTTCGCAGAACTCCTTCGTTGGAGTTTTTTTCTATACACACCTATACTATTGGCCTGCGGTTACAAAATAAGCTAATTAGCAGACATAGGGACAAAGCTTGAAGGGAGTTGTTAGCTCTTGAAGACGAGGTTTTCAAGAGAAAAACTTTTAAAACTTTCAGTTTTCTAACGCATGGTTTTCTTCCCGTTTGCGATATCAGTATGGGCAGGGGTGCGCTAAGTTAAGAAAGGTTTGGTGTCTCTGATGGTCTTGACTGCATTCAAAAATATGGAGACTGAACGAAGTTATAGCCTTCCAAAGTGAAAATTTGCAAATTTGCAATTTGCACATTATTTTTGCAACAACCTAAACCTTGCCAACTGGTTTATGCGTTTCACTGCTTTTTCTCATGTTTCCCTCTTGAAAGCAAGACTGTAATTGCATTTACAATTGTAGGTTGAATGACTCAATGTGGTAGAAATACTTTTCTTTGCGAAACGTGCAAATATAACTTGTTTTCTTAATTTGCAGCCATGAACAGGGTTGCAAATTAAGAAATCTAGTTATATTTGCACGTGGTGGTGAAAAAAAATTTCTGTCAATATATCAGAGCTCACCTGTGCAACCGTTGATTATTTTTCGACTAATCAAAGAAATGAGAACTAATTTAGCGTTCGTGTGACAACAAAATTGGAGCTTTCACACACCATACATAGCTTACCTCTCGAACTGAAAAAATAGCCCATAAACCAACACTAGCCCACTAAAAAAATTTCATCTCTTCGAAAACTTTTTATAGAATATTTTCGTTTGCAAAGTTGCCCTCAATGATTTGATGGTTTTTTGGTGTGGACGATATATGCTATAGCATCTGGAAAATATAATTTTAGCGAATGAACTCAGCGTTACCGATGCTGAAAGCTGCAACAGAAATTTCTATTTACCAGCTTTGTTGGATTTAAATAGAGCAAAGGAAAGCTTGCCGACAATTTAGCTCATTCAGACTAACATTTTTTTCGCGCAGATAGTATTTGAGTATTTACACAATTTTTGTAGAACAATTTTGATGTGTAACATTGCTTAGTCAACTGCTAGCTAATCTTTGTCCTGACCTCATTAACTAGGAGGTAAGCACACTTTTTCTCATGACGAGACTGTACTTTACGACGCCTAAGACAGTCATGTGCAAAAGTACTGGGTGTCAATAGCATATAAGTTCACACCATAAAAGAGACGGTATACCGTAAGCGTGACAGTTTCCATTTGCGGTAAAGTCTTTTGAAGATGTTGTCGAACTCTTGCAGCTTTCTTTTCTCTTTTCTTTTTACTCGGTTGAATATTCCAAAAACTGTTTTCACAACAAGATTGCGCTTCTTGTTTTGATCAAATTTCACAATGTGCAACCAGATGACTCACTTCCTACTGCCTCGAACTCTAGTTCGCCAAAAGTATACGATCTATATATCTGTAAACCTCTGCTGTTCTTTGTGATTACGAAAATTGTCATTATTTTGCACAAATTACAAAAAAATTTTGTTGGTGACTTCACCTTGTCATGTTTGTCTAAATGGATGTGTGTACTTCTTTCTAGCCTGTTATAAAAGACCCTTTCAATTACTGTGGTATTCAAGCCATGAATTTTCCTGGAAAATATTGCACATTGCCGCTAATTTTCTCAGTAGAGGGATTTCGTAGCCATACTATTTACAATGTCTTTGCGTATTTGTTCAAGAATCTACTTATTCACCTCTGCTATGTTTCAATTTTCCTTTGGGCTAAATGCCTTCTACGAAATTTGACCTTGAAAAATTCTGATCAAAACTCTTCTGAACTACTTCTAGTTGGACTAGTTATTTGTGCAATTGTTTATCCTTCCTTGAAATACAAATTTTTTGATTTTTGTGAGCTTTTGGACGATTTTTTGAGCGATCAGACTATCCTTTGGCGGTGCATCAAACACGCGGTAAACAGCATTCATTAGTGTTGATGACGGGGTGCAGGACACACGCCTTCGCCCACTATTGTGCTCGTTACGTAAGCGTCTTAGATATAAGACCATTACGGACAATTTTACATTAGCGAACTTAGTTTAGCCCACTCTTTCATTCCAGATGGGAAGAAGACAAACTTTGGTTTGAAAAGATCTTGTGCAAGATTGGACACCTGCAGCAATTATTGGAGTAAAAAATCACCTGCGGATGAGAACGCAATCTTTCTGATTTCATCGTTTTGACAGTGTGTGGAAATGCAGATATATTTTTCCTTCTGATTCCGTCCTTCTGCAAAAATTGTTTTAGCGGTAATTAATGGTAATTTTGTCATTTCCAATTTTTTGTACTGAATTTTTGCAGTAGAAATAAGTTAGAAATCACAAATTCCATCTGCATCTGCAAAACTTGTTTCATCTTTGGCTCACCGTTTTATTCAGTTTCCGAAAAACCACAAAATCTTGAACCTCCTAATTTACAGATCAACCAACCATGGTTACACGACTTTGCGAAGCGATGTGGCATAGCGTAAGTCACTTTGTGTTTTATTTTTATTTTTTACTTTATTTTTCGTTTCTTATTTTATCTTTTGTTCGCCTTTCTGCTTCCCATTAATGCAATTTTTTTTGCATTGTATAGTTTTCTCTTTTTTTGTATCGAAAATATCCATCGCGATAAAAGTATCCCGAGATAAAGATATCGATACTTTTCGGACTCAAATGAAAAAGGAATTTCCAAGAGTATTTCCAAGCTTTCAACCAAACTTACTCGCAACTTGGGGAAATTCAGTCGATAATTTATGTCTCATTAATTTTCTCATGATGTGACACTTACATGCATCTGTTAACCGGTATCAAGTTCGCTCCAAAATCGGTCATGTACCCGTGCGAAGAGATTAATTGTCTCATCGGAATGTCTTTGAACTACTCGTGACAGATTATAAACGCTTTTCTGCACAAAAAGAATCATTCTCATAAACAAAACCTGAAGCTGAAAATGACAGGCTCGCCCTTTTGTATCTTTCTGTTTATAAGCTATGACCTATTTTTTCAAGTAGATGATTAGAGTAGTTTCATATAGCAGATTATTTTTGGAGGATTTGCAGCTTTGATTTTTTTTCTTAACGTTCATCTTTGAAGCTTTTGTTATCAGTTCACCTTGTTGCCTTGGCCCTCTCAGCTCAACGCTCAGTGACATCATAGGCACGTTTTACTATCGAAGTTGTTTATTTTTTGATCTCTGACGCAGGAAGAGAATGAATGGGAAGGGTAAAACTAAAGTGGAAAAGGAGTCAAGCTTGGACAATTGATCTTGTATATGTTTGGAGTTTGAAAGCACAAGATACCGCTGTTTAGACGCGCAGTACAAGCAAAATTTAGTGAGCGATTTCTACATGAAAAGGAAAGTTTGCTAGTGACTAAATAATGTACACTGAAGAAATTTATTGACCAAAGTCATTGTTCAAAATATGACTAGGTACTTATATCATCAAAATTTGTTGCAATGTGATTTTAATTTTTGTGATTCATTTAGCTCTGTACCCAGTCTCTCCTCGTCACTCTCGAGACACGAATTTTGCTGAGATTTTCGTGAAGTTCATAAATAGCGTGGCCAACATCCTTTTCTCCAAAGAGTAGAATTTCTGTCCTCTTCTTTCACTCCCTTCAAAAGTTCTGCAGGCTTCGTTGATTCCAAGATGTAAATGGAATGACAAAATTGTAAATTCTTCTTTGGTAGCAAACAACAAACTTTCTCTCCATAAAAAGCAAAATTAACTGCTATACAATAGTGTCATGGGGCAAAAAACTTGTGCAAAATTTTAAGTGATTTTTCGTTCTGCCATAAGCCATCATATCCTCAAAAGCATCGTTTAGACAAATTTCGACTTTTGTCCCGCAGAAATATGAATGTTCGGGGAGGGAGGGGTACATTTTGTAGAAATATTGAAATTGATTTTGAGGAAACTTTTCGAAAACTATCATAAACGAGTCCACGCAATGGGAAGCCGCCGCTCTATTTCTCCTCAGCGGTCCTAGGTGAATTTCATTACCGGCACAAAAATCTAAGCACTCCCAAATATTTCCAAACGAAGCTATTAATACACTGGAGCCCTAACACCAGCTTTTCAAACTGAATTTACATTACCCAACCAGTATCTTTCCAGGAAGCCCGCGCATTACAGTATGCCGTACCAACTAACTGTCTGTTTATTGGTGCATTGTCGTTTCTTCTTCCGGCAGGTCCACTGTCAGCAGCAATGATGCTAGATGCATTTCTTCTAGCCATGGCTGCTGTTGGAATTACCGCTAGAACTGCAGTGCTCATTGTGCCAAACATAGCCATTAAAGTGGGTTGACTTGGTAATCGATCGATTGATCCGAGTTTAAATTTTTGCGTTTCAGATTTTATTGCTACTCATCATGCTGTTCATAGGCTGCGTATCGATCGATACTTTCATGCAAATTATATGAAAGAATCTGCTGGAATTTTCACGGATCCGGAGGTGTGCAATTTTTTGATTTGAAAGATGCTAGCGATATTGTATGCTTTGGATTCTTTTGTGTTCCTTACTTTTCTTTTTGTAATGTCACCCGTGATCGATTCTACTTTGTATCGAATTATCGCGAAGAAAAGATTATTTTTGAATTTTTGAGAAGAAGTAATATTTTGTGATTCTCAGGTGGTGTCACAATCTCCAGTATCGCTATGGCGTAATGTTGTACAAACGTACCCCTCGCTACCGCTCTGGACTATCGCCTTCATCCTGCTGCTATGTATTGAAATTAGGTAATTTATTCTTTCGTTTTTTGACGAAACCTCTGATTTTCGCATTTAGGCTATTTTTCTGTGCCTGGTACAAAATCGCCTGGCGAAGCAACGAAGATGGAGGAGAAAAAGCTGAAAAAGTAAGTAAACTTTCACATCAGAATTATCCACTTCAATATCAGTCTATGAACAAATTTGCTTATTTACGAAACTTTTCGCTCAACTTCCGCCGTTATTCCTTTTATTCTACTAATTATGGCTGCTCCCTTTGATCACATCTATTGCTCAATGGAATAATTCTCACTTAAAGGGCGCCTCTAAGCATATGCTTGAGGGCCTACGAAATCTTTATAGCTATAACTTGAATTTAATCTTGCCTCAAGTTTCCCACGCATATCTACATTCTTTGGAAAGAGTTTGTTAAAACCTGCAGATGAAAAGAAAATCCAAAAATAGTGGTTCGAGTCAAAAACTGTCTGATCGCGCAAAGTTTCTAACGCCTCGGTTTATCATCTGTGCAACATTTTTTTCCTTGAAGACAGATTGCTCTTCATAAATTGTGATCCCGGTTATCAGAGTTTGACATATCGTAAAGAACCAAAACCAAAACTCAGAAATGTTCAGAAACCTCGGAAATTATCTTTACTACCTCTATTAGAGTCGACTGCACGAAATCGCCTAAGTCGCTGTAGGCTGAACACTCGCGAGCGTGCCTGCAACGTGGCTGCCGTGTACAGGCGCTATGATAACTCATGCGCGCGAGTGCCAATGTTAGCCCGCCAGAGACACGCGCGTGGGCGTTCAATCCGGGCGATTCCGTGCAGTCAACTACATATCGATCCGATTTTCACGTCAATGATTTTCAATTTCCAGCATCCTCCTTCCTATGCATACTGCATCTCACAAGGCACATCTGATGTTTGTTCTGCTGATGATTTGCCCTCCTACGAAGAGGCGGTCCGCCGAAGCAGTGTGCAGAAGCCGTGCTGTTCGAAGTCGCTTTTGCCCCGCACTGACTCAAGTCGCACCAATCTGAAAGCCTCTGATTCTGCTCAAAACGAAGCTCAGACGCCAGTCTCTGGGAATGCGAAAGCTCAACTGAAAACACAAGTGCAAAGTTATCCACAAACGAATACGAACGTATCGAGAATCACTTCATCGCGACCACGACCGCAGCGAGTCGTGGCCATCCAAATCGAGCAACCACCCGTGGAAACAGAACGACGATGTGGGTTTCTTTCCAGACCAAGTCATCCTAATTATCTAGATGCGAATTACTGGATGTCGTTTTAGATTTGTGGGCTCAAAATAGTTGTATTTTTCTTCAGAAACATTAATGTGCAGAAGAACTAGCATGTGACATTCTTCATATTTTTGAACTGCAGTAAAAAAGAAAGCCACAAATTTTCTGAAATTTGGTTTAGAACTAGGGAACTTATCAGAATCTTCTGCTGCAAATAATTCTTGGAATTATTTCTCTTTCGAATTGCTCTTCAGAATTACATTTCAACACCTCAGCTCTCCCGTTTTCTGATTTGCTGTGGTGTTCTCATTGCTCTTAATTACAGGACGAACCTCGATCTCTACAACGAATATTCTTCATTTTTGTAAAGAAGTTTTTATGTACATATGTATATAATAAATATCATATATTTACGCTATGAATGTTGTATATAAAAATTTGAGCACGGACCTATAAAAGTGTACTACTAGCACTACCATACCAACAAATATATATTCGATAAGACACGTACTCTGTTGACCTTCATTTGAGAAAGGAAGCGGATTACTTAGGAACATTCAAAGATCATCCGAGATCCAAATCAGCGTATTCTGTGCCCTTGGTAATTTGGGGTGTTTGTGAACGAAGAGGATGGATTGTGCAGGAGCATTCTGGTAATGTATTGTATTGTATTGTAAACGCATAACGAAACAATCTCGAAGCTGCGAAAGGAGGTTTTCGTGAGTCCTTTAAGAATGGGCATAAACTTGTTCACAACCGTGGCATGTCCGGACTCACATGAGTGCTCCATATGGCAGCGCTTCTAGATTCCGTATGTCTTTTTACTATTACAGGGTGTCCCGAAAGTCTCTAAACCTAGTATTTTCTCAGCTGCAGCTGTACGAAGCAACATTGACACATAAGATTTGGAGAGAGACTTGAGAAGAACTCAGATTTCGAAAAATCCTCATTTGCCTTCACATAAACCCTCATACTCTTGCGGAACGCATACACCGTGGCAGACAGGTAGTTGACATCGAGAATGTCTCACAGCTTCTGAAGCAAGTGTTCCCCTATGCCCAAAAGCTAGTGTGGAACAGAGCAAGCCTTGCTGTCCATCATTGGTCACAGAAAAAAGTCAAAGGCTTTTGAGCCAGCAATTAAAAGGACGTTGATTTGAGAAGCGCGCCTGTGAGGTTTAACAAAAGTGTCAAAATGTAGCAATCAAGTTCTTAAGAACATCAAGAGAACAGCAATTATTGTGTACATATAATGACTTTGAAATGGTGTTTCAGTAAAAAATGCAGAGGTTAAAGCCAGAATCAGTGACTCAAACTGAACTGGCGCTGGATTCTTAATCGGATTTCTGTTCCCGAGAACCTTTTTTTTCATTGGCACGGCACTACTTTGAGTGTTCGTAACCTAATCCTACCATAAGGAAACAAGACTACTGATTAGTTTTGCACTGTAAACGTAAAATGAAGCAAGCTTTACAATATGCAGTTCAAGATTCTACAAGAGCTTCAAAGGCAAAAGAGCTATTGATGTTTGATTAAAGAGTACATTTACACTGTGTCGTCCTCAAATAGTAATACTTTGCTCCAAGAACAGTATCTTGAGAATGTACAGCGCAAACAATATGATTTTTTGAGGAATACCAAAAACTAGACGAAGTATGCATACGTAAAATTTGAATGATAAGCGAGGAATACTAATAAAGTTACTATGTTGGAAAATTAGGCTTAAAGACTTTTGGGACACCCTGTACTATCTAAACCTGCCATCTGTGCGTTAATTCCTTTCACCGTGTTCTTGACACTCTGGGTGAAATTAAGTGAATACATGAATAAAACCTTAGCATAGACTAATGGACTAGGTAATAAACTGAGGAAACCCCACAAATGACCAACACAATGAAGCATAGAGACTTAATAACATTTGCACAGAGAGCGGCACAGAAAAATGCTTGATCACCCCGTTTTGGAGTGCTTTCTGTGGCTTGGTGACGCTGTCAAAATCATTAGTTATAACGAAACAAAACGATATTTCAGGTTGGTTCATGAACAATTCGGTTGTTTTGACACTTTGTAGAGATCAATATGTGCAGTGGATATTTGGTCTCATCGGAGAGTGTCAAGGGGAATCCTATGGTCAACTTGGGCAGAAATTATTTTTGATGGTGAAATGGGTCAATAAAGTGAGAGGAATTTCTGAAAAACCATGCAGCAAGACGAGCAGAAGTTGGATGTGAAAAGAATGTGGTGGATTGGTGGGCTCATAGCACCTAGATGGACACTTGAGGCCTAGTGCTCACTCGATACTGATCGACGAACCTGTACCACTGCATACCTAATGCGCGACCGTTTTAATAGAGATAAGTTGAGTTATTTATCCTTATGGCATCACACTACACTCAAGAAACAAAACACTAAATTAAAACAAAACTACTGCTACCTAACAAAAAACACCGGAGAGGCTCCCCCATGCTACCGACGCGCTTCTGTAAGTAATTTCGTACACGCGTGGCTTTCAAAGGTTCGCGCGACAAGTCCAAGGCGCAACGCCAAGATTGCAAACGGCGGCACGTCCCCTCCTGTGGATTTTACAATTCCAAGTTGACATTCAATTCCGATTTTCGCTAGGCGCGTCCAGAATCCACCAACTATATGAATCCATCAGTCATTCCAAAAGACATTCGCTCGACTGCTCTTAAAAGAGGACCGAAGCATAACGACTGGAATACTTGTCGAACAAGAAGTAAATTAATTGATAACGCCACGAACAAGCGGTGAAATGAGGCGCTGCCCAAACATGCAATCTCATACTGAAGCCATTTGCATCGCTGGAGGGGTCAAAGTCATGACTTGATCGGTCAAAAACTCAAATCTTGAGAGGAACTCAAATTTTCAAAAGTCTTTGAATTGTAAATCAGGATCATGCTGGTTTGCTATGTTGCCAAAGTTTCTATAAATTTAGTTATCAAACTACTCGTCTGCGCGCTAAACTGAGGCTGAAGTTCGTAAGTAAAAAAAGATTTCTCGAAAGAGTAGCTATGTAAAGGGCAAAATTGACATTTATCAGTGACTGAAAGTTTTTAGCTAGATATGCTTGACCACGCATAAAATCCTGGCTGATTGACAGCAACTTAAGTGAGCCGTTATAAAGTTTCATATTCGCATGTCACAATGAAAATCATTGATTAGAACCTGGTACTGTGCAAAAAGTCTTTTTGAGAATCCGCCAAATTAGGGAGCTAAACGCCGTTATCGTTTTTGCCGTCCTTCGCATCAAGCCTCACTTTTCGCGCGCTTTCACCATTTTATACTTTCCACGGTCATTGGTTCTGTTACCTTCATTTGTTCTTATTTTCCGGCAATTCCGGCATCCTGTACATCATTTGAAGCTCGTGGTATTCACTTACACCTCACAACGTAGCCGAGTTACATTTTTAACTTGGGCAAAAAATGGAAATTCAAGGCCTTCCCGTTTGAATAAAGTGCAATGGGTCATTTTCTTACTGTTTGTCACAATTTCGCAACCTCCTTTCCTGCGCTGAATCTGAGCGAAGGTAACTCAGATGGCTCGTCTTCATGTTGCGTACGGGCGGCATCTACACGAAAATTCCATTTGACCCTCTCTTGCTGCAAACATCTCATCTTAAATATCTTGACGGCTATGTCTACCAGCTGTGAAATCAACTGATGCGAAAACCGTGAACATCTGATTTCAAAGCTGGTCCATCTATCTCGTCTTCTAATCTTGTTGGTAATCTTCCTCAGGGACGCTTTGCTTCACGAGGAATTCACTCGGTGGTTCTTAGCGTCCATTTGTCTGCCTCCTAAGACGCGACTAGCCGACGGACAGAAGACATTAGGTTGACGGAAGGGGAGATTCCGCGAGGACATCTGCAACAAATGCGCACTTCCCCCCATCACAGCTCGTAGTAGCAATCCGCGGGTGGAGCTTATTGGCGACCTCTTGTCCTCTACCCTTGGCCCACTGGTGCTTCCTTTCGCAACTGTATGACCGAATGGGAGAGTCGTGTGAGTCGAACATGTGGTCTCGAAGTGAGTCGTGATTACGATGGTTCCCTTCCGAAAACAGGCCAGGCTTCTTCAGGTGTGGTGCGGAAGGCGACAATCCCCAATTTTGTGCCTATCAGAAACTCTCCTGTGTCAAAGTGACACGGCGGGGACTACGGAGATGGGGGTGGGGGGAGGGGTGTCGCGGATTGGGGTCCCCCGCTCCAGACGTCAGTGGTAGCGTGCTCTCCTGCATCGGCGACAGGAGCGGAGGACTCCATCCGTGAAATAGAGTAACGACACTTAGAGGAACGGTAGCCACTTGCGCCACGCTATTATGGCCTGCCACGAGCACAACGCACAACGAGTTAGAGGCCCTAGGCTACCAACCAACCCCCTACTGCCTACTGCCAGCTTTCTCAAGCCGCTCACACATGGACAATTGTGGATCTCTTGCAACTTAGGCACTAGCGCGCATCGTGCCTGTCCTTCCGACTGATGGAACCTTCCAAGACAAGTGTACAAGGAACACAAACAGCATACAGATATAATGTGCCAAGGTCTGAGCCTTGGCTACCACAAGAGTCAAACACTACAGCTCAAGGTGCCCACCATTTATCCCTAATTGAACCGAACACACGAGACACTCAATACAATGGGCAGAGCACACACCGGCCAATGATCTCACCTAGGGGACGGTAAAAAGGAAACCCCCCGCGAAGTGGCTCCTCAGCCCTGCGGCAAGAAAGGAGCGCACAGCCGGGTTACCTCGGTGCAGGTGCCAGTCCTCCAAGCGTGCAGGTGTTGAACATCGCTGGACCAAAAGAGTGCGCTGGTGGATCGATCGATAGACGGTTGAGGTAGTCGGCCGCTCGCTGCTAGACAAGTGTGGGAGAATGCGTGACATATGCGAAGTTAGACGTGGGAACGAGAGGCGGGGCAGCGCGAGGACTGGCATTTTAGGACCCATCGCTTTGCGGTGGCAAACTCCCTATAAGGAAGTCGCGCAATCCGCGACAAGGGGCGGGGTGGGGGCAGATACGGTACTCGATGCCACAAGTAGAAATCCGTGAAGATCATGTAGACGGATGATACACTGCTTCCATTTTGTGCCGACTGTCGCCTTCCGCGTGCCCCCCGGCTTCTTCTTCTCTATTAAGATTTTTCACTCGTTCTCTACGTCCATCAAACGTCCAAGATACACATGAGGAAACAACTTCATTATGGGGGTGTGGTGCGGAAGGCAACACCCTCGAATTTTGTGCCTTTCAAAACTCCTCGGCGCCAAAGTGGCACGGCGCCAAGGTAGGGGGGGGGGGGAGATACATGACTCGATGCACAAAAAATTCTGTAAAAGTTAGTAAGGGTGATTTTGCACTGCTTGCATTGCGCACTGTCGCCCTTCCGCGTACCCCTCATTATGGGGTTGCCTTCCACTTACATTTACCTTCTTCATATAAGGCGTCGTTCATTCTTACTTTTTACTAGATGGCGTCCACGTTCTCGTCTGGACCGTACGTTCAAATTGGTCTGGCATGGTGTTTGATCCAAAAGTCTTATGGTTTAGCATTCTTCTCTTTCCTTCATTTTGCTCTATTTATTCCCTTATTGCATACTCTCTTGTTTCTTCCTGCTTCTGCTCCAGTCTGAGCAGCGCTCCTATAATACGTATTGATAGTCTTCCTTTTGGTCACCTTGCTTCGTAACACCGCATCCTCCTCACCGGAAAATGTAAATGACCGTTACCGCCCTTTGCTCTTGATTTGGGGAAATGATTCGAACAATGGCTAACAAGCTTCATTCTCCTTGGGCCTCGGACAGAGTTCACGCGATTTGATCGTCGCGATTCAGTCGCTACAAGTTTACGAGTCCATTACACTCCGATCTTTCTGTATTTCGGTTGTGATAATTAGTCACATTAAGTGCCGGGCATACTTCACGCGATTTCAGTCGCGATGCGATTTGGCAACATTCCAGCTGTGCATAACTCGCTGTAAGCACATTTTAAATGAACACAAGATAGGACATTTTATTAAGGCATGTAACTTATACACACTATGCATGTGAAGTTTGCTAGTGTTGGATCTGAACACTTCTGGCGAATTGCCATATCGCGTCGCGACTGAAATCGCCTGAAGTATGCCCGGTCCTTTAGTCGTGTTGGGAAACTATTACAACCGAAATGCAAGAAGACCGGCATGCAATAATCTCGTAACACTTGTCCTGTAGCGATGGAATCGCGACACCAAATCGCTCAACTCTGCCCGAGGCCTTAGATGAAAGTAAACAAATCAATAAAATGATATTAGGTTGTTGTAAAAATAATGTCCGTTTTGCAGTTTTTCACTTTGAAAGGCTATAAATTTGTCCAGCATATTTTCAATCCAATCAAGAGCATCAGAAGTTGTAAACCTTTCGTAACCACGCGCACCTGCATATACTGACATCGCAAACGGAAAGAAAACAATGCGTCAAAAAACTGAAAGTTTTTTTCGAAAAATGTCTTTGAGAGATTACAACTCCGTTCAAGTTTTGTTCCTATGGCTACTAATCAGCTTATTTGGTAGATGCGATCCAGTAGTATATGCTTCTATAGAAAAAGACTTCAACGAAGGAGTTCTGCCAAGAAAAAGATAGAAATCCAAAATCGTTCACTTTTTGAGATTACTAGTGATAGGCTGGGAAGTCTTAAACAATGAAAACTTAGCTAGGTTTTTTTGCATAAGTTTTAGGTAAGTGCTCTGACTTTAAGCCTACAGAAATGAGCGAAGTTTCGGCGACTGCCCTAATAAGGAATTTCGAGCCTATAGAGTTTAGGCAGCGAGTATCTTTTTTGAAGCATCGACTTCTCAGTTCAGGTATATTCGAAAAACTTATTTAAACATGCAAGAAGTTAACAATATTCATCCCATACAGTAGCTATGTTTTCAAAAGAATTCGTCCGATTGCGCCTAAATTGTGGCCAAAGAAGTTGAAGCAAGGAAATTTCGATTTTGAGTGCAGTTGTGCGAGATGCTGGTGAAATTCTCACAGATGAGATAGGAGCTTTTCACTACTGTTAGAAAAGCTGAGAAAGCTGTCCAATGATTTGCAGAATCTATGTTGAAAAATAAATTTTGGAGGAGAAAAGTTGTTAGGAAAATAGGCCTAGGAAAACGGACATTATTTTTGCATTAGCCTAGTAGAAGGACCAGTCACTCACTGACTCACCCGCGAAAAGCAGACTATGATCTGCGCCTTGTCTTATTCGTAGGGAGAGAATTTCAGCTCATAGGAACACCTTAACACGTTTCGGACCGGTGCTGCACATGGTGCAGCACGCTACTTCGAAGGATCCTTTTGGCGTTTACAGGAGGTTTTCTTTTAGTCCAAGGTTATCCAGTCAAAGGCCTAAGCTTCTACTTTCCAAATGACTCTTTAGAGTTGTGCCGCCGATATTTGTTTAGGAGATATGAGCGCAAATCGAACAACAGTTACAACGAAGCGCGGCAGCGCGAACGACGCGTGCAACGTCGCAACTTGTCATTACTTCCATTTCGAAGAGAAAAACCATAGTTTTAGTACTGATGCGTACCGCTTATAGCATAGAGACTTTTTGAGATTATTAGAAACTGAGTTCTTGTTCCTGTCTTTCAGGAAAGCTCAGAAGTCCTTCTCAAGCGACGAAATTTAAACACTTTGGATTCACTCAAAACTTTGGGTGTAGAACTTATCTGATAAGCTAATCATAGATATAGCACACAGTCTCCGAAATAAGGTCCCTTTGTTGGCTAACGGCTGAAAGTACCCTCTTTATCGCCGCGCGCGATTTCGCGGTCCGAAACGTGTTAAAAAATTTGTATTGTTCACAAAATTCCCACAGACATACACACTTTGACATTTACAGAGTTTCTTCAATTTAAGACGTTTAAGGCGTTACAAATCAATAAAAGTAATTTGTTAGTCATAGCGGAAGCACAGCCGTAACAAACATGTCACCCGTCATTCAAGCCCCATCCGAACGATCTGTATAGGAAGAAATAAAACAGAGACTAGTTTGCGCAAATACGTCATATAAGCTTGTTTGCATGGACTCTATCGAGAAGTATCCATATCCTCCTGTATCAGCAGACGATCTCGAGTTTCGATGAACTGAGGCTACAAATCCGAATACTAATGTTGTCCTTTTTCCTATACTTTTTCCAACTTAAGTTCTTTCTATTAGGTTGATGCACAATTCTTGCACCAAAAAATACAAAAAAATTATTTTGAAAATGCTTAAACAAACTATTCAACTTGCATGTTCTGCTCTATGTTATGTATATCAAAAGTACTATCTTATAGTACGTTTTAGATAATCAATTTGAAACAAAATCGTTAAGTCATTTCAAAAAAACTGAAATTCGTAGATATTCGCAGAAACATCCAATCACTACCAACTTCTCTTAGTTAAAAAGAGCATGCCATAAAACTTAGACCAAAAATAAATTTAAATTCTAGTAGACGTTTTAGCAATTTTAGTGACTAAAAATCGAAAAAACACTTTTTGAGTATTTCTCTTATTCACCTTGTATCGTTGCCATATGCCCTCAGAGACTTTTGGCTCGAGCACCATCAGAAAGCGCAAGATTTGCTCTCTCTACTATGTATCGAACCAGAAGATTTCATCGCAGCTGGATGAAGTAACAGAATTATTAAAATTTTGGTGCAAGAATTATGCATCAACCTAATACATTCCAATCCTATGAACCAGTTTTTGATCGCAACAACCTTCTCCTCTTCTCTTTTACAAAGCCTTGAAACCAAGTTTGAAGTGTCTGAATACAGTAACTAGCAAAAAAATTTATTTTCAATACATTCCTATCAAGAACACTATAGTACACCGTATTTTGTCAACACCACAAAGCATTTCGGTATCGCAGATAATTGCACTGCGACAACACTAATCCACATTGGAACGCAATTATGTACCTAATTGTACAGATGAGATTAACACAATATTTCATCTACAGACAGCGGTCAATCACTGCAATAGCTGCATTCGCAGCGGTCGAAGAGAGGGCCAAGGGGAGGGGGACGAAAAAGAAAATGATTTCGAAGTCCAGTTCAGCACCGCATGAGCGAGTTAGTGGCCGCTAGTGGGAACTAGTGACTCCTTTACCGTGTGCTCAGTAAAGAAAACACGCAATCATCAGCTCTAGGTAAAACTCTACATTGGGCCAAGGAACTTAACCAGAAAGAAAAAGACATAAGTTACAGATTCTAAGAAAGAGCCTAAATAAAGCAAGCCCCAAAATGATTCAAAATATGAGATTATAAGAGTGATAGAAGGGAGAACAGCGCTGCTTTGGAGTCAGACTAATTCCGCACTATTTATTTTCCTTTTTGACCTTTACAGATCCCAGCGGGTCAACACTGTCTTCATCTAGTGTTTGCATTTCGTATCCGAAGAAACCATCGGCTTTGATCATAGATGCCTAAATATGCGTAAGGTTATAAAATTAGCAGAAGAAGGTAGAAAGCCACAAATTCAAGATCGCATTGAAGCGACCAAAGTGGAAGGCTGGTTCGCTTTGACATTGCATAAGAAATTTTCACATCTGCGGAGTGCAGGGATTAGCACAAATTTAGAATGGCCCTAAGAATCCCGATATTTAGAAAAATAGCAATTTTCTATAATCTTCAGATTCATAGCCTACAGGGTGCGGCAAAATTACCTGCGCCAAAATTGCAGCACTGCCACGGAAAAACTGAGAAATGTAAGCTCAAATTTGTGCCAGGGAAGTGCATAATCAAACTCTACCAGGAGCATTTTACAAAATTCAAAAAGACCTCTTTTCAAGAATGTTAGGAGTGAAAGAATCAGACTAACCGTTTTGAGAAAAAGTAAAGATGGGATTTCTAAAACTTCATGTTTTGCTCTGCAACTAAATGAACTGAAGTCTTCCTGAACATTCCGAACTGGAGTTGTAGAACACACTGTCACATAGTCTTATCTGCATTTGCTGGTACTTGTTCGCAAAATATGAAAATGTTTTCGCGAAAAATACAACGTTATGTTCAAAATCAATGTAAGATTTTAGGCGTGCAAAACCTTCTAACCATTTTTTTTTATTTATGAGAGCTGTAGAAGAGCATCTTTTGTGAGCGGTTCGCGAAAATAGCTTTGAAACTGATTTAGAAGACATTCTCTGATTCTCAAGCGCACTCAGCAGGGCGAAAATCCACGATTTTCGATATGCTTCTCCAAGCATTATTTGAAAAATCTAAAATCCATCTTTGAATCGAATTTCAGATTTTCAAACCTGATATCGTGAAAGGCGAAGGCTTGACCTATTGAAGCCAAACTTCAAAACAAGAGGAAAGGTTTTTAAAAGGATATCGTGTAAATTCTCAAATTGTGCCTGCGTACAAAACATACCACGTCAAGAGGATTTGAGATTTTTTGAAAGATTAAGCAGTCAAATTCTGATTTGAGTATAGCACCACGATGCTAATGGTTGGTGAAAACATATGCATGCTTGAACTGTCAATGCCTTGTATCCTTCCAGCACCCAAGCAAACAAGCGCAGGTAATTCTGGCGCAGTCTGTATATGGCCCGGAGATGGATCTACACAAACATTCACAAGATTCCTTGATGAAAGTCAATTCAAATAAACAACTTAACCTCACAAGCAAAAAAATCAAATCCTTACTGACCGTCAGATGAGTGTTGTGGTATGTTAGAAATCCTAGCCCTCCAGTTAGCATGGTGCGCAGAATGAAAGGTGTCTTGTAGTCTTGTACAAGCATAACATATAGGAGATAAGTCACAGGGATGTGCCTGAAAAACCGTGGTTGCCATTCAGACATCGAAAATATCTAATTGAAAGTAAGAAAAAGATTTACCTGAAGAGGAACATGCAGATCATGTTAGCATTGATTAAAGCATTGTATGCTACAGTTCCTCGTTTTGAGCATCCAGCCAGACGTACCATCGTACGTAGATGAAGGAAAATTGTCTGCACCTAAAACAACAAAATTATATCAAAGAATCATTCTCATTTTCTTATATTACAGAATCATTCTCAGTAATCTCGAAGTTTTTCTTTGCAGACATCCACCACTGATGTTTCTTCCTTATCAGGATAGAGTTGGTGCAGAATCAAAAGAAGATTTTCATTTGAAGTCTCTTCTCTCAAAAGAGTTCGCTACCAACTGAGAGCCCCTTTATGGTCCCTCCAACAATGGTTTAAATAGCCCCTTCAAGTCTTATCTGTGAAGTTTTAAAGAATTTTGAACACCCGCGCTTGAAGTCAGAATTTCATGAGCCGGAATCTGAGCGAGAATGAATTTATTTTTCTGAAAACATAGCTACTGTAACGAAAATTGTCCATGCACTGCACAACTATCATACTTTTCGAAATTTTGCACTGAGATTGATGCCCTGTAACATTTATGTTGCAGCTAATCCAGAATACAGAAATCTTTTGAAGAAGATAACTGCCTCTCATTTTTGTAAGCTTGAGAGCATGACATTCGACAAAATTATTTGCGAAAACACTTGGCTGTTCAGTACACAAAAAAATTGGAAGCATTTCATGATTCGAGAGCTTAAGGCTTGCCGCAGAATGTTCAATAAAGTTGGGAATTATTGGCTTCTATTTTTTTTTCCTGTCGCAATCTCTTCGTTTAGAGTCTTTTTATTTGTACCTCTACTACTAAACTTGTAAAATTATAAATCCATCATAATCTTTTTTCATAGCACATGATGCTATCTTCTCACCCAAAATTAGCGTCAATAACAGAATGGACCTTCACGAAAGATCAAAGCGAAAAAAGGACTGCAGGACTTATTTGATTAACTTGAAGGTCTGAGTACAAAAATTCTTTGAACACACCTCAACGAGCAATCCAATCATCGCAAATCCAAACAATTTACCCGTGAGGAGAATGATTGTGAACGCTGTTATTACCTGCAATCTGATTTGATCAAAAATAGCAGCGACTTTTTACAAATCAGAGTACTTACAAGTGAGTGATGAATAAAATACTCTTTTGAGTTTGGTGCCTCACCATGGATGTACATATCAATGAGATCATAGATGAAATATCCTGCAATTAATATATTTTAGGGTTAGTGCATAAAGACGAGGAAGACTAGCTTACCCATGGAAAAGAGGAATACGTATTGTGCTGAGTTCGTACTGTAATCATAAGGCTCTTTGAAGTAATTGGGATCCAACAGCAAGCTGTAAAACAAAGTATATTACGAACTGGTCAGAACTATTTTCCGGATTGTTTAGCTCCGCAAGAAAAATCGGTCCTCGTTACGCCGTCCCCCCCCCCCCTTTCATTTGGCAAAACTCAAGAGTTCAAAACTTAAAGGCACTGTCCGGGCAAAAACTCGATTCTGAGATTTTGTGCTTACTGGGGCCTATTTGCTGTGCTGAATCCGAAAATTCACATTGGAAAGCGCGAAAAAGGCGAAAAAGGGCTCTAGCGTAGGAGTAAAATCAAAAGAGGGCGGGGTCTTCCCCACGGTGAATTCACGGTCCCGGCTTCCGGAGCGATCTTCTTGGTTCCGATTTCAGATCATGCATATGCAGTTGGTCTGTGGAGATGTCAGGACGGTTAGCGGAATTAAAAAGATCGCTCCGGAAGCTGGGACCGTGAATTCACCGTGGGGAAGACCCCGCCCCCTTTTGATTTTACTCCTACGCTACAGTCCTTCTTTGCCATTTTCGCGCTTTCCAGTGTGGATTTTCGGATTCAGCATGGCGAATAGGCCCTGGTAAGCACAAAATCTCAAAATCGACTTTTTGCCCGGACACTGCCTTTAAGGAAAAAATTGAAAGACTTTCTGCCCCACCCCCCCCCCCCCCCCGAGAATCATGCAAATTCCATTGTTGACATTGCAAATCCTATATGATCCATATCTTTCCAGCTTTAAACACAAACCGGAATATCTTGCGATATACCAAGTCCGCACCTGCATAAGCATCCCAATGATGAGATCGTTGCATGAGTGAATGAGACAACACGAACAGTGAATATACGGGCCTAAAATAAAAATTCAACCTAGACGTACCAATTATGTGTTGAGACCTTTTGAATAAGTAATCTTAAATGGAACTGGCAAAAGACCAAAACCAATTAGCTCTAGAGAATTTTTTGAGGTTATTTAGACAATTCTTCTGGAATTGGCTCGCATTTTGGGGAATTTTTGTGCCATACCTTCGATAGTCTAGAGACAGGGCGTCAAAAGTGAAGGTTGTTTGAACATCTGACGTCATAAATAGTGAAGGTTGTTTAAAGATGATCAAAGAAGAGAAAATGACATAAAACAGATACAAAAAGCAAAAGAAACTGTTGAAAATGGGATAAAAACGCTGCAATGAGGCCTGAAATCTTTCATTTGGCGGCTTCTCAAAGTGCAAGTTTTCGCTTCAGGACCAGCAATTCGCAACACGGGGTTTTGATTTTTGATGCGTCCTTTGAATTTTTACCCCCGCATTGACGTTCCTGTTTCCTAAGACGTTGTCTGGATTGTTGCGCTTATTGTTCTGAGCAACAATCGCCCAAGCTGGAAAAAAATCGATGCGAAGGCATTGAAACAGAACAAGGTAAAGAAAAACGCACTTTTTACGATTTTTCGCAAAAAAATCCACAATAATCGAAGAGATAAAGGCTGGATGGTTGTCTGCATTATGAACAGAAGCAAGATCTATAGAATGCACGAAAAAGCCGGATAAAAAGAGGTGAACTAAAAGAAAAACAAGAGATTTTCGAAAACAAGGTTTTTGCCGGATTTCTCGTCCAAATCAAGAAATGTGATTTTGGGACGTTGTCAGCGTGAAAACATAGATCAAGAGCTTCAAAATGATATATAGCTTGCTAAAATTGGGTACGAAACAGCGAAGAAAAGGGTACCAGAGCCAAATGCCCCGCGCCCCGCGTTTGGGGTAGCGAGGTAGCGCGCAGCGCGAGGAGACGCAGACGAGCAGCGGAGACAGACCAGAGCCGACGGGGCATTTGGCTCTGGTCGTAGATCTCCGCGGGGTCTCAACGAAACCCTGCAACATTATATATCATTCTGACCGTCATGACACGACGAGGAGAGCTGACAACGTCCCAAGCTTTAAAAGTCACATACTAACGAGATAGACCAGCATTTTCGTGCGCGACTCTCTGCGCACAATTAAGCGCAGTTTCTCATTTTAATTCAACTACAACAGCTTTCCGAACTTTTGAAACTCATTTTTGGTCAAGTAGGAGGCTAACTGAGGAACGTTGTCCTGAATTCTGAGGAAATTTTCACAGAAATTCTCTTTTCAGCGTAAAAAAGGCTTTAAAAAAGCAATTTCTCGGTTTCGCTGAGACATTCTTCAGATATTCTTTCCTATATTTGGTTCATTCACATTCTTCCGATATAGTTAGGATTATAACATCCGGGGCTTGGCCTCGGATAACTTCTGTTTTTTTCCCAGGTGAAGGTTGTGTCCCCTCATAGCCCTCAAAGTGAAGGTTACCAGAGTATGTGGCTCTATGTATCGAGGGTATGTTTTGTGCTATACATAATCTTTGATTTATGTTAGCTCAAGTCACAAACTGAGGTCTCCTTCCTTTAACAGTCTGAGAAACTAAAATTTTGGAAAATAATTCCAAATGCACAATTTGATGGACAAAATCAGCATATCATCACTGCGAGTATTTGCAACGATTTTTGAGAAATTTAAAAACCCAGTGAGTCTCGGGTTGTCACTTACTTTGTTCTGCGTCCAGTCCGGAGCAAAACGTGCGACGACCGCGGCTGCTATCAGATACTCGATTCGAAGTAGAGCTGAGACACCAATGCAAAATAGCAGCCGCAACATGGTCCTAAAAATGATGTCGTTTTAGAGAAGAAATTTTATTTACAAATGCGAGGATGAAAGTCACGATAAATGAGAAAAAATGAAAGGCAGCGGAATACAGAACAGGTCACATCGAAGAAGGATCTTTTCCTGCGCATCAAGTAAGCTTTTGAGGCCAATATTCCGTACTTGAAAAAAAAAGAAATTAAGCAAGTTCCACTTTTAAATTCTCTACAAGTAGACATAAGTCGAAATTAGTAATTCGAGGTGGCTTGTGACTGCCTCTTTTTGGGTGGGGGAACGAAAGCCGCCAGGTCCAGCCGCCTTTCGCGGCCAGCTGGTCCTTTCGCAGCGTTGTTGCATGTCGTTCCAAGACCAGCAGTCCGCGGAGGCGGCTGGACCTGGCGGCTTTCGTTCCCCCACCCCCTCTTTTTTTATGGCTTCTATCATAGAATATTCACCGAAGCAGGACTGACACGAGAAGCAATGTTGGTCAGAGAAGATTACACCTTTGAAGATGAATAAAGAACGCACTTGTAAGGCGACAAATTGCTGATAGAATCCCATAGCTCTGAAAACAAAAAGTAAAGTTCTGCCAAACTTTTAAGATTTTGTAAGTATACAAACAGTGAGAGTCAATTCAAACAAATGGCAAAAGGAGCCTCCAGCTGTTTGAAGTGGAAGGCATGCTTTTTGTGGAGCAGCTTGAGTGCTGAGAGACTGAAGTGAGTTTCGCCAATTTTCGAAAGCGAAGCAAGTGCGATGAAAGGCAAAATTCGATTGAAATGACGTGCCTGAGTCTTCTAAGTTTTCTTTGAGCCTTGCAGTGTTCGACATGATTTTTGATCGCAGCCGCTTGCAAGCGAGAACTCAGTGAAATGAGAGAGACCCTACCAACTTTCCGGGTTATAAGCTTTCTCATGAGAATGCTCACGAAAAATGAGTTTCGCCCATGTCTCTGCAGATTATGTAAAGGTCTTTTTTCAGGTGCGACCATTTGCAGGCTGGCAATAGGCAGAACATGGCCACATCAGAGGAGGATGAGATAGAAGTACTAACAAACGAAGTGTAAGGGGGAAATAGGACTTCTGTGATAAGTAGTTTTGAATCGAAGTTGGCAAAAAAGCAGCAAGAAGCGTTTGTATTTTTTATTCGCAAGTATACAATGAATTTTCATACAGGTTTGTCACAATTTTTGAAGATTCAGACTATGGCTTGTTCTTTGCTACTCCTATATTTTGATGCAGATTGTCACAGTTTGGTCAATTAACCTCATGTGTGATTGCACACATTGCACATGTATAGGCTGCCGCATGACAAAGGCACAATATCTTTGGGCGCGAACGCGCTTTATTAGCCGCAGAGCGCACCAGGCGCAGACTAACAACGGTGAAGACACGCGCGCGTCGCGTTCGCGTCCGCTCAACTAATACTGCTTCTCTGCGCCTTCATCCTGCAGTACCCATTAGGAATATAGCGAATTTTGTCGGCCGTTCTACTCAAACAGATTGCTAATCTCACCAAATGTTTCTCCTGCCGGCGTATCAAAAACTGTGTAGATATGCTAAAAGCATTAGAAATGCAAAAATAAGTCCTATGGTAAATCAAAAATAACAAGATTTGTGCACTTGCACATGTTAACGAAATGGCTTGGCATAAAAGGTGAAAAATTCTTCAATGCTTGAATAGAAAGTGAGCAGTTCGAGCATTTCTTGACCAAAGTTATCAAGAAACTCGGCAGCGTTTTAAGGTGGAATAACTTCTGATCTATGAACTCCCCTCCCGTAAACGGAGGGGAGGGGCTGAAGGGCTTGCGATGACGCAGTTGACGTAAACAATCGTGACGTTGTTTACAATGACGCATATCAGTCATGATTCAAGTAATCAAAAATTAATTTGATAAGTACCTTTAAAATCCAAACAAGAGTTTGACTCTGAAAAAATTCCATAAATTGGATCAGAATTTCGCAACAGTCAAGATGGCATACAAAATTAGCAGAGATTAGATTTGGGTCAATACGATTTGGACGGCCATAATAATGCCCTGCGCGGAACCAGATTTCGGACGAGATCGATACTCTAGAGGAAAGAAACTGGAAATCGATACAACATTATTACCGTTCCAATAAAAAGCCATTTAATCACAAACAAAACATCCTGCAAAGAAGGCGATGCGAAACTTAATTTTATTGCAAGAAAACTGATTCAAAAGAGTGAATTAATTAAAATGCAATGCGAAAATCTCCACGTCTTTTAGGCTGTTCTTCGTTGGCAGACTATAAAATTTGCTTGCTCATAAGAACAATCTTCATTAGTTTAGATAAATTGGCTTGAAGTCAGCTTCAAAAAATAAAATTTCAATTGAAATACAGGGTGTAGCTGGAAATCGAACGAAAAATGAAATCCAGGCCAGGTTGCGGAAACTTAAACCGGAGCAAGTGTCTTCTAAGCGATGTGATAACTGAAAGTGAACTTATCTCAATTAAGTCGGTCCGGAAAGAAGGCAAGCCTATCAGTAGCATTTATTGCTGCTGCCTTATAGGCCTATCAAGAATATTGGTGAAGTGGGTGTAGAGAAGATTATAGTGACGCACGAATGAGTTCAGGGAATGGATCGAAAACACACTAGTTGCAGGAATTAAAAAATTAAGCAAGCAATTTCGACAAATAATGCCGCGAAGTATTTTTTCTTTTATTTTGAAAGAACAAAGTTTAGCCATCTTTTATGGTCATTTTTGTACTTTACTAGAAAACGCTCATTTTTGACTTTTCAGGGAGGTCTCTCGAAAGTACGCAAGATTTAATTCCACCAGCACACATAAAAAGAAAGCATTCTTAAAAAGCACAAAGTTCTTCAATTGCTTGTAGGCACAAAGACAACGAGTAGGCCTATCTATTATTAGTAACATTTCTGTCATACAAGTACAATATACACAAAAAATACCTTATCAACAAATGCAACAATCTTTCTGACAATAAGGAGAGCAAAAAATCGACTGGTGACTTTTCAAAGTAGCGATGCAATTTATTGCATGAGACAAAACGCATGTTCACTAGAAGTGCTGGTCTTTTTTCTATTTATGACTCTAAAGCGTGCTAAAATAGACAAGAACACACTCATACATTATAAAACCTTTAAAAAGCGGAAAAGGCGACTTAGCACAATGAAAAACCGATTGTTATCATTTTAAGTCCACTGCTACGAAAGATTGAAGAGCGCTAAAGTTTTTTATAGCAGGCGTTGCAAGTGGATTATTTTCTAGCTTCCTTGCAGTATATCTAATGATAAGGGAAAGTGGCAACTAAAAAAGATCGTGAATGCGCTGCTGAAGCCCGCGGAGATGCCAGACAAGGCTAGATAGAAATATAAATATAGATGATGTTAACCATTCTCAGTCAATTTTGGCATGTTTTACGATTTCGGATTCATTTTTTCCCAATGGTTGGAGATTTTAATTGCTTATCAGTAGTTTAATAGAATAAAATTTACAAATGATTTTTCGTTTATGCTCTGACAAAGGCTAAACGAAACATTGGCCAAAAAATTCTCATAACAAGTTTGATATTGGTCACAGAATTCCATTCCGGTTTCACATTGATGTCTACGACAGAGTTCCTTAGCTTATTTATCTGAATGGAATTAGTACAAGTGAATGGTGGATCAAGACCTTGAATGCGAAATTTCTTCTTCAAAACATTCACGACAATACGACTCACTGCTGGATCGTACGTGTTTTGCCATTTCGGACAATACGAGCCACGGGTGGGTCGTAAGTTTGACAAAGCGAAAAAGGTTCTGGTCCGAAACGGCAGTAATCGGGAAATCGGCCTTGTCGTGCATGTGTCAATCAAATAACACTTTCAAATCTGTTGTGTGATAAATTTTTGACTTGATAAAATCTACTGAAAATGCGCAATTTGAGAGCTTCGAAGCAACGAAACTTTAAGCTGAGCGAGTGATCTAAGTCGAAGTTTTACCTCAGAGAAGCGAAGAAACTTAAGAAGTATTACAATGACTTCGCATTTCTGACAGAGGACAGAGGAATTTCTGTGACGCGCTCCGTTTGCGACACAAAGAACAATCGCGCCACTTGGCCCGAAAGCCGGTTTGCTTTGTGTTTTACAACACGATCATCTTCACGATCATTCTGAACATGAGCGTAGTGATCTATGAAGAAATGCTAATGCAGACTGTTTACTTTTCAGTCGCTTGGATCAGATTCGTAGAATGTTTGAGCAAAATTTGGAAGGAAAGCATGAAAAAAGAATACATTATCGACATTAAAAGTCGTTGCATTCATTCTTTACTTTTTCCAGATTTACATTGAAAATCCCAAGTCATTATGATTTTTCTCCGCTCCCTTTCATTGTTACGTGGACTTACGCTATTTTTCAGGAAGTGGATACAAATGCCATCTTTTTGCGCCCGTGACGTCAACATATAAAACCCGTTCTTTCGTTATTGTTGCCAGTATTCATTATATGAAAAGTCAAAAAGCATCAAAACATGCTTAAATGCAAAATTTTATGAAAAATAAGGAAAGTTGGTGGAAAAGCTAAAAAAAACTCTAGACCTCCTCACAAAATAAGAACGATTTCATATATCTGAGAGAAAATGAATGACAAGGATACAGTTCTGACGCGGGGAGAAAATGATTTTCCTAATGGAAGGCCTATTCAAGCAAAAGCTAGATAAATAGCTTATGATACGGATTCATTGCCTGTTTACCCCTTTTTCATCCAAATATTGAAGAGCTAATATGTTTGCACTCACTTTTCAAAAGGATAATTTGAGCTAAAGCCAAAATCGATCATAACTGCAGCTTAAATTAGATACAGATGTAATTCTTTGCGGAAATATGCATTACCAAAGGACAATGTAAGCTTGCTTTAAAAAATCAAAAATGCCGCAGTAGCTCGCCTTATAGCCCAGGTAATCAATCAGATTTGAGTGAAACTTCAAGGCTCAAAATTTTCAAAGATTGTATCTTGGTGTAGAACAAAGCTTCATATTTATTAGCATAATTTCCAAAGACTTTGCGCATTATTCACGGACTCAGAGGGTGAAAGGAAGAGAATTTAACGTTAACTCTCCTATCTTTGAAGATATGCAAATCCAACACTCGAACAAAGATTTGTGAAAAGAAAAACGTACGTAAAAAAGCTAAATGCTGGCTTACAGATGTCATGAAAAGTTTTGAAAAAGAAAGCTTCTTTTTCATAAACTAGCGCTTGGATGAGGGGTCGGAATAACATAATTATCAATTATGAACCAACCTGTATAACGAATAGACTACACAAGGCACAAGTATGCAAATTCTAAAATTTTAACCAAGAATTTTAGGAAAATGATGAAATCAAAAAAACCCCGAGAAAGTGGAGGGAGCACGAGCCATCGCGATATTTCAAAAGTGGAAATTTTCAAGGCCTTAATTTCACTTTCTTCTCCTTTGCATCCCGGAAAAACAAAAAAAGACACGTGCAGAGCTTAGTGAGACCGATGAGAAAGTGAAACAACAAAGTTTAGAGATGAAGAAAAGCCCAAAAGCCCATCAGCTGTTAGCGGGTTGTTGAACGAAAGACCGAGCATGTCACCATGCCCGATCACACCACCTCCGCCCCGGCCAGTAGCGACCAGTCGGCGGCTGCACCAGTTTGACGATCGCTCGCTCTGATCCTTGTAGAGCATACGGACTGTTGTGATAAACAATCGGGGAAAAGGGTGACATGTAGGCAAGGGAAAGAAGAATGTCTTGCTTCAGCGAAATCTTTTTTTCCCTTCACCTAATGCCTCGTGATTAGGTTAATCTAGACGGATTGGCGCAATCATTCTTCTTTTTATTTCTCTGTTGCATAGCT